CGCACTGCAGAGGTGCGTGAGAGAGGGTTTTTTCAAGAGTGGGTGAAGGGAAGTGAAGGATAACCTTGATTTCAAAGAAGGAAAATATTTTACTGTATCTGCAGCTCCTTTATGAGACAATTTGCACTTTTAAAACTGCTTTTTAACACTAATTCTTTAACCCTTTCCAAATATGCATAGAACATGGTTTGTCCAGCACACTTACCTAGTGTGGATGAGTTACGCTCTGTTGAACAGATTCGATATTGTATCATGTTGAACTGTTGGTGAAAGATGTGCATTGATCAGTGGATCCCACCGTTGAGGAGTGGATAAAACTTCACGGAAGCAGATTTAATCCCTTGTAGAGCTTTTGAAAAGGTAACATAAGGATTGTCTTTGGATGGGAAGACAAAGGTGTTAGTGACTTTGGTTGTTGACACTTCTGATATTTTCTAGAAGTAGTTGAGATGCAAATAACCGATGCTCACTTTTCTTATACTGGCAATCTAAGAAAAGAGCTAGTGAGTTTGGTTTGCTGTTAAGTTAAACCAAAAACTAGTCCAAGGTAAGTGTCATTAGAAGAGTATAGATATAAACTAGCAGTGGCAGGGGAAGGAGCGTTTGCTGTATTTTTATTTTTAAGGGTTAACTTTGCACCAGTGTGCCTTCCCTTCCTGTTGGGGGTGCTTGGGACCTCATAATTTCAAGTGACATCCTTCAGTGTCACTAGTTTTTTCTCCCCCTTACAAACACTTGAGAGAAATAACAGGGTAGAAGGATTCAGCTTTTCTTTCTTCCCTGTTTAGGTTGTGGTGAAATCTGCTACGTTTTCCGGTAGATTTTGCACACAGGCTTTGTTCTGAATAAGTCAAAATACAAAATACAATCCATCCAGTTGTGATTTCTTACTTGGAGGAAAAGAACATCTGCTCTTTGCATTATTACTACCAAAAAGGCAATCCAGCTAAATGTCCAGGAAAACGCAGGTGTACTCTTTCCTCCACTGTTTCTGGAAGCTAAGGTGGATATTGCCCTGCTTGACCAGAGGGTTTGTTCAGGAAGGTATCTAGATTTGACGACAGGGCCTTTTCATGGTACTGTGGAACTAAAATTTAAGTGTGATTCTAGGCAAACTGGCTTATAATGCCCGTTGATTTTCATTTGTGGACAGAATCCAAACAGCATTTCACCTGATAGAAAAAGCAGCCCTCGCTTCTGGTTTTGGTCCCTGTCCACACAAACGTGATCGGACTGTCGGAAATACGGTCTCACTGTACCGAAGTCAGAACAGTTCAGTGGGAACGAAAATCCGCTTCAGATGTTCATAGGTGCATGGGTAGGGCTGGGCTTTGCCCTGATGCCCCTTAACGTGTCGCTGTCTGTGTGTGCACTTGGGCTCTCCGTTTGCTGCAGCTTCAGAGCAATAAAACGTATCTCCCCTGAACTGCACCCAGCCAGCCGCCCATGGCTTTATTTATAAACTGCGGTTCTGGTTGGGTGGGAAAGGTGAGAGTGTCACTGTGCAACATCCACTGCCTTCCAAAAACCACCATTCAATTGAAAAGGGTGCTCAAAATTTTGTTATACACATTTCCTTTGTGTAAATAAATGTTTACAATTTTATATTAAAGATTTGAATAAGAGTTAGATCTTCTGACTGTATATTTTTTACTTTTTATAGATTTTAAAACTATAATTCTTTATATATGTGTTTGGGGGGGTATTATGGTAAGTTTTATGCTTGTAAATGGAGAACAGTTGAATTTGATGCTAACCTTTATGAATTTTTGTCATTGAAATGTATGAAGAGTCCATTAATCCCCTTATTCTTTTACTACAATTACTGGTGCACACCAAAAAGAAATCCTTCACTTCTGTTTTATCATTATAAAATAAATATTTTGCTAGTGTATTAAACTTACATGGTGTGACTTTATACATTTGTGTGAGCTGAGCAGAGTTCAGTCCTGTTGTTCCTAGTGAGATGGTTCCCTTCATCCCAACACACAACTAAGGCTCAAATTCTTCTGCTGTGTCTTCCCAATTCTTACGGTTTCAGAAAGTCCATTTAAACAGGCCAGAACTGGAAAGAGGTCTTAGAAAGCTTTTCTTTGAAAGCAAGGCTTTATGCTACACCCCCTGCTTCTGGACTTTCTTTTTTAATGCAGTTGTAGACCTTAAGCTGGGAAATACGACTGCGGAGGTGGTTGTTACTAGTGAAAAAGATGTCAGTAACTACTCAAGACCTCACATGGGCAAAATCGTTAGAGTTCCAAAAATATGTTCAGATTCCCTCAAAATAACAGGCCTTAGAGGTTCAAATTGGTTTCCTTGAGACTTGTAAAAAGGCAAAGATTATGTTTGTTTGACATAGGCAGATGGCACACAAAAAAACCCAAACAACCAACAAACTGACAAGTGAGGAACACGTACTGCAAGAGTGAGTTAATGTTTCTGATCAAGGACCAAAATACTGGCAGCAAGTTGCATGAAGATTTTGGCTTAAGGCTGGTAAGGTCTCTAAGCCACTGCATAGAGCTGGTGGGTCAAAGAGGCTGTGAAAAATAAGGGCAAAACAGGTCTCAGAGTCCCTCCTGGATTGTTGAGCCTCTTAAGATGGACACTTACACGTACATTGGTTGGAAGAGAAGTAAAGCAAGGATCTGTGGCTCTGTCATGCCCGAAGGAGCCTGGCTTTGGTGGGCTGTGTTTGGATGTTACTATGTTCCTGTTAACAGGTTATTACTTGACGAATTACTTGGAATTGAACATTTCAAAGCAATTCTTTTAGTGAATCGTACCGCTTGCAGCAGACCCAAGAATTCAGTTATTTGTGTAGTATTTCCTGTTTGTCAAGTGAACCTTGCAACTGATGGTATCTAGTCTTAAGTTGTAAACTAAAGTCTCCTCCAACCACAGATTTAGCAATAGTGATAAAGAGGAATTTGCAAAGTGTGACACACGCGTTTCTTGCAATGGCTGTATTCGTTTTATATGTTACTGTAATTTCAAGCATCCCCTTATGTCATAGGAATTTTAATCAGCTTCAAAAACTGCAGGATCATTCTCCAGACATTGAAGTTGATGTCTTATATAGCTGTTCTGTTTAAGGCCCCAGCTCAGAGCCTTCAGATTTCCTCACAAAGTGCATCCTGACTTACCCGAGTATATTCTGAGTATATTCCTACTCTATGAGTTTCGAGTGGTGTTTGGGGAAGGAGGGGACCTGCAACTTTAGATGCTTTTGAAGAGCCAAATGTTGTAATAATACCAGGATGAGCTGCTTCTAGCCCATGGGGAACTGAAGTTATTACTTTATTTTGCTTTATTGTCCCGTTAAAAGTGCTGCATTGTATTTCATGTTCAGTAAAACAGAACTTTCCCAAACTGTCCCCCTTTGAAGTGGTGTGCACGTGCATGTTTTTCCAAAGATTTTAAGGAGTCAGTGGCAGCTTGTGATCAACCTCTCCCCAGAAACTGATGGGGTTTTGTTTGCTTGTTTTGTTTGCTGTTTAGTGTTTTTCCTGAGGCTAACGTTACTCTGTAATGGAAGTGTTTTCTAAAGCCTGAATTGTTTGTCGAAATGGTGTAAGCGGAAGTAGACTCCTTGTGACGTTTCCCCTCTGACTTTTACATTAGACATCTCAGATGAAATCTTGGGTTGCCGATAGATTCTGTTAAGGTTAATTGCTTTATTTCTATTTCAGTCTGGTCTGCCAGCAGTCTGGAGGGTCAAAAGTCATGTCTTGAGTGTTTTGCAGAGAAAGGGAGCGGTTTTGCTATGCTACGTGCATGTTTTAATGCAAATATAGAATTGTACAGTTTTTGTAAGTGTTCAATTTCATAAGCTGTCATGGTGAGGCTTTGAGGTGACGAAGATCCAAACCAGAAGAACCAACTTGACGCATCCCACTCAGGAGAAACTGAATGTCTGGTCACTTCTTGTTGGTATTGTACTCAAATTCTGTAGGAAGGTTTTTTGTGTGTGTGACTGTACAGAGAGAAATGCAATGACTGGACCATATCCTGTCCCCTCTCTCAATCAAAATTAAGGGAAAACCTTAGCTGATAATGAATGATACCTTTTTTTCTCCTTTTTGGTTTTAAAAACTTAAAAATCAGAGTCTTATCCGTATAAAGTTGTTTCAAAACACAGGATAACTTTTTGAACTGATACATATTTTGCTTTTGTGGAGTGTAGAGAAAAGTTATTCAGGGCTAAAATACTGCTGCTTTTCAAATTTTACATTCTACAATTACAGTTCTGATGTCAGTGTAACATTTCTGAGGATCCATGTGTTTCTACATCCTCTGCTGCCTTCCATTTGGAACCTAGAAGGTTTATCTTGTATGTTTGTCAGGAAAAAGTTTGTACTGCAGAATTTTAAAAACAGCAGAAAATGACAAAAATGACTGAGTGCCAGTAAAGAACTGTACTCTTATTTGGTAAGAGTATTAATAGGATGAAATATGTGAATGCTCTTTAAAAATTCAGAATCCAGTAACAGAATTAAGTTGTTCCAGCCGAAGCCTAGAAAATCTTTTCACATGGTCGACTCCACTACTTGGAATAAGAGCAGAAGGTCAAGTCATTAATTTGTAAATGCTTGCTAATAATTTTCTCAACCTCACACATAATTTAGATGCTTTAGAGCTGATTAAAACTAGCAATAAAAGGGCTGGAAAAATTCCCATCATCTTTCAGTTGCCAGCAATAGATAATTCAGTCCTGGTACAAAATCCGTAAATATAATTGCAGGAATGTCACGGTTTGGGCATACAAAAATTTTGCTGCTATGTAGTTCAGCAGAAGGGACTTGTCTGGAATAGACATTTTCTGAGGGCTGCCTGCTGTGGAAAATGGTGTGGCGTGGGGAGAGTTAACGGGTGGTGGAGGAAACACGTGTTGCTGCAGAGCAGTAAGAAGGCTCCGTCCTAGGTCGGGCAGCAGCGGCAGAGGAGTGGAGAGCAGCTGTACTTCTCACACCCCGCAAGGGTTTTGGTCCATGGTCAGCAACATGAGAAATCAGATAGACCTGCTGGCCACTGTCACAGTTTTAGGAGTCCTGGAGCAAGGTAAATGTCCTTTCTATAATGCTAGGTTCTATTAAGCTAATTATGGTGAACTTTGTGGAACTTGCTTCCTGTATTTTGCTTGGAGTGTCCATGTCGCTGTTTTCCAACATGGTAAAGTGATGTTTGGCTGCTCACAGTGGATGTGTCATGCCTGGGGAGCTTCATTATTTAATAGGAACGAAAATGATTTGCAAACCTCAAAGCCGGCATCCTAGAAGGAAATGAAATTTAAATTTTACTTTGAAACTCAAAACAGCTTCAACAATCAAATGTCTTTACAACATTTTATGTGATCGAATTTTAGCAGGTAATTTGTAACTTAGAGTGGCTGAAGGTAACCAAAATAAAGGCAGGTTAATAAATGTGCTGATGAAGAGGTTGGTCTACAAACATGTATTGTATGTATATGGAAAAGAGCAACATATACACCTGTATTTCTCTGTGACCAATGTTGTTACGTGTTCGATTCATCAGCTCAACTACATGGAGCAGATGACAAAATGAGGTGGCAGCACACAGTAATTTGGAAACTAATCCAAGCCCTTCTGGGCAGAAATAGACGCAGACATCTTCACAGAAATGAAGCAACTTCTCCTAATTTCAGTAGGTGTGTTTGGTTTAGAGCATTCAGAACGAAGCAGTAGTGCTGCCCAGCTCTGTCTACGTTGTGTTTTTAATTGTGGGTCCTTGGGCAAAGACTTCTCCCCTTTGGCTTTCAGGAGGGTCACAGAAGAGGCCACCCCCCTGTCTGGGGAGGGGACAGAGCCCCTGTTTTTAACAAAATCTTCACATTTCTGTAAAGAAGTTTTGCTTGTGGTTGGGGGTTTTTTATTACTTTATTACTGCACTAATTCACCAGAAAGCTATCACACCTCTGCTTACAAATGGATGTGAATCTCTGAGCAGCCACATGTATTTTCAGCCATCAGAGGATAAATCTCTTAATATAAGCATTATTTAAAACACAAATATGCTACTTGAAGAATAGAGTTCAAGATTTCTGAATTATCAGTAGTTTTGCCTCAAACAATTTACAGAGAAATATCAGCAACTACAAATGGAATATACTTTTGTCTTACAAATTTTTTTTTATTATTAAAGGGAATGGAGGAACGTTTAGTGTGCAGAGAAGACAGGGAGAAAACTTGAGTTACGGAAGTGTTGCTAAGCCCTTTCCATTGGGAAACCCTCAGTAGCGAGTCTCTCGATAGCAGTTTTGTCTCAAATATATTTGTTTAGCGAGAACTTCAAGTATTTTTTAAAAGTTGCAGCCTCAGGCATTTCCCTTTCATGCTATGTAAACCATACGTAAGTGTGAAGCCAGCAGATAAATAGCAAGCGTGGGCACCCTCTTATCTACGTTGGATCAGATAAAGTCGCCCCATCTTATGGTCTCTGCAGGGGAAGCCAAGGAGCAATTACAAAATATGGTGTGTTTCCTTTCTCTCTATTAGTACGAAATATTGACTAGAGCTGTGCAGTAACTTTTCTTGCATGTTTTCAAAGGACATTCCATAGGTGAGCTATGGATCTGAGATTCATTCCGAGGAGGCGGCGCACTGAAACGCAGACGTGCACTATACGTACAAATACTCTTCCATCACATGCCGATGCGGGAGATGTAAGCTAATGGCTGAGCTTAGTACCGTGTTGGTCGATTTTTTATTTTTCTTAATTTTCTGGGAGCCCACAGTTTTCTGCCTTCTTTCAAGAAACTTTCCCCTTTTTACTTTAGTTATGCTCAGTTTAGCAAAGCTCTGAGCTTAGTGCTCTCCAGATACGTGCCCCTGCCCTGTGTCGAACGCTGTACCAGAGAGCAGAATAATGCTACCACAGTTATTTTCCCCCCTCCCCTTTTTTATTATTTTTTTGTTGTTGTTACAGCTTGAAAGGAAATGAAGCTTATTAAATGTCACTGTCAGTCCCCACAGAGCTTGTTTGCCAGGTTCACTCAAATGTGGCAGATACCAACTGTAATATGGTTGGACAAGTCTGTGGACATAATCAAATAGAGAACGAAGTTTTGGCTGATGCTTCTATTAAGGAGCAAAGTGCAGGGAGAGCTGGGCCCCCGTGAGCCATGTGGGAATCCACGCAGGAGTTTATCCTCGAGATGTGAATCACAAAAAACTAGTTTGAAAGGTTCTGCAGAGTGGATCAAGCTCTTTTCCCTAAGAGTCTGTGCTAAGAAGACTTGTGCAGTGTGGGTTTTTTCCAACACCTCATTCTGAGAAGTGCTTTTGGAGGGTGATTCTTCATTCTTAATGCTTTGCCCGTACCCCAGGTTTGGAGGACAGCTAGCCATGCTCTGAAAGACTCTGACTCCTCTTAGGTGGTTGTGTTATATGTTATCTATCCCTAAGCATAAGGATCTGTTGCAGGACTTGTCTGAATGTTTGTCCCTGTACATAAGTGAGATGTTAAGCATTGAGTTGATGGAGAGGTTGGGTCTGAAATTATTCTTACCGTGGTTGTCAGCCACAAGAATGCTACGTTAGGATGAGTGCGGGTGGCACGAAGCAGGATGAAGACCAATGTCCAGCATGGTCAGGCTTGTGCCACGAGCCAGAGCTGCGCACGATGCAGTAACTTTAGCTCAGTCTATATCTTGAGAGATGGCCGGGACGAGGCCCTGAGAGCGTTCCATAGTTGTGTAGAAGAGATGTGCTTATCTGACGTGAAGAGGAGGTGATAGGATGGGTCACCCTTCCATCCTCTTTCTCAGAGCTTTGCCAGCCCCCCCTGAAGTGCCAGTTGTGCATCACTGCGGACCTGTCTGCTTTCACAGGGGGGATGCTGTGTTGTGTCCTGCCACATCTCAGGGACACCCTCGACCATAATCAACGTGCTACAAAAAAATCACGGGGGAATCCTACTGTTCCTCCCCACCTCTCTCTCAGCACCTCTCATTTAGGACTGGCTCACTGCACACGCTGTGGAAGACATCAGAACATGCAGATGTTTTCCTAAATGGATGTCTATGTGTATTTAAATGGATAATACATAGGTTGCATAGCATCGGATTATTTACGTTTCTAATTCCCTTTTCTTCTCCATATGTTCTAATGCTTTTCCGCAGGCACGCATGGATCTGTCTTGTCTTTAATCTTGCAACAGCTGTCTCTACTCTCCCTTCTCTGTCCTGCTGTTCTGCTTTTTACCTTCCTTAGAATAAGACAGTCCTTGCAGCCTGGCTCCTTGTGTCTCTGTTCAGTGCTCTGGAAACATTGCTACGTTAGGACCTTGCTAATTCGAGTGACTCACTTAGCAACGTGCAGCCACAGCCACCAAAGTAATTGTTTTTATAATGTGGTTTTCTGCTATATGAAAACTCTCTTTTCAATAAACGCAACAACGCAGTAGTGCACCTAAATATAAACACTTGAAACATCAGCAATCACCTGTGGGAGCAAGAACTTTCATTAATAGTGAAAGGGTCCAAATCTTCATGTTAACAAGTTTTCGTCGTTTCAAAGTGGCTTTCCATGTCCCTTACAAGTGTACAAAGGAGCGATGTGGCAGGCCCTGAGTTAGTGCCTCAGCCCAAGCTCGGCACGGGCTGGTAGGGCTCATTTGCAGCATGTCTGCTCCTTGAACTGCTCAAGCCTTGGGGCTACACTGCAGGAATGAAGTGGAAGAAATAATCATCCCCTTCCCCATTTCCTTCCATTGCCATGATTATGAGCATTTCCAATTGACTTCACAATGTCCCAGTGCTTCACAGGTTGGATGCTGCTCTGCGACATGGGGCTGTCCTTGTACAAAAGCTTTGTGCCCACTGGGTGTAGTGGGTTATCCACCATTCCCTTCAGACTGGCTGAGGGTGTACCAGTACTCTAAGTGAAGAGTCTGAGATTAAAAAAATAATAATAATTCCGTGATGGAATGTGGACTCAGTAAGGTTTTAATGTGCATTGCTCACCGCCTTGGGCATGTTTGATCTGCTGGGGAGCAGCGCCGAGGACTCTGCTGCTGCGTGCTGGGTGTGAGACTATGGGAAGCACCAGCCAGCATGTTGGCTCTGTGGCACAGGTGCGCTGCCAGGATAACCAGATCTGAATTTAAAGTACAAGCGTGAAATAAATGGCACGTTTATTCCAGGTTGTGTGTGACAATCTTGGACTATGAACCTAGACAGAATCAGCTCTTTTCCTCTAACCACTTGCTCGATTCCAAGCCAGGTAAGGCTTGGCTAAATAAAACACTGCTGGATTGTTACCGTTTCTGTGGTGTTGTTGTTTTTTTTTTTTTAGCCTATTTTGTGCTGCAGGTGATCTACGCCCGGCGGAAGTACAAGATCTCCCCTCCTGAGACAACAGGTCACCCCGAATTTGAGCGGATCTTCAGAGCTCAGTAAGATTTTGACTTTTTTTGTGATGACTCCATCTAGGTATGACTTGAGTCAAGTGTCACTACCAGGAAAGACTGAAGTCACCCTCTGGTCACCTTATCACTTACAACTACTGATATTAGGTGGTTTTTAATGCTTTGCATGCTGGGGTCTGTCTGAGTTTTCGTTTGGAGCACTTTTCTCTGGCTGGAGTATTTCTGCTCATCCATGATAATTCTCCCTCTGGCATTGTGAGAGGCAGAGCCGAATTACAAATAAGTGGCTGTATGGAAGAGCTGCTGAGCATTAATGCATTATAATCACTAAGTTTAATATTAATGTTGGCTCCAAATTGTGAGAGTAGCTGAAGCTATATTCATAACCTAATATTTGCTTGTAAGTTTTCGCTGTAGAATTGAAGCAAAAGGCCTTGCTGGCAGAACCAGCCATGAGGATGTTGTAATTGTTTTCCCTTTTTTGAGCCGTTGTGCTGTGAAAGTCGGTGCTCGTGTGCCCATGCCGAGGGCTGTTTCTTTCTGCTCTGTTCCTATGGAGAGAGCAATGCTGGAGCTAAACTGGAAATGTTCACAGATCCCTTCGGCTTCCAGCAAGCACCAGATTCCGTCTTTCATCTCAGTCATGCTGTTTTGTGAGTGATTGAAAGGAATTGGCCGGAGCTGGTTAGAAGGGTAGTTTGAGCACGGCGCTAAATTCTGAACAAAGCAGCTGCTTTTCCTTGCCAGCGTGCAGGAAACATTTGTGGAGTGACAAAAACAGCCTCTTCGGTCCTTTTGCGAAGCAGTGAAAGGCCAGCCTGCATGGGAGGCATCAGCCTTTGCTAGCTGGGTAGCTGCTGCTGAGGCTTTTAATTAAATGCTGGGCTGTGCGTTAACTGAGTTGTGCTGTGGGCTGCGGCGTGCCGGGAAGCCCTGGGCTCTATTCTGCGGAGGAGGTGACCTCAGGGAACTTGGGTTTGGAAAGGTCTTTCTTCGTTGTGGGCTTTTTTGTCCTTTATTCTTTTTCCTGTGGAAAAGGATACAAAGGGATAATTTGGTTTGATATTTGAAAAAAAAAAAAAGAAAGAGGAGAAGAAAGGTATTGATATATTACTCACTCTTGGAAACCTGGCAGCCTCCCCTCACTGAGGCTCAAACTGTGTTTGCAGTGTAAGGTTCTTCAGACTTTCCAGCTCCCAGTCTGGCTCAGTTCCCTGAGAACTGGTAAATTTTTGGCCAAATTTAAGATTAAATTGCCTAGGGAATGGTAAAATGTAGGAGGAATCGAGAAATAAAACCGTTGTCATTAATAGCACAGCTCCTACCATCCTGTCTTGCAGAAAATCTGTGTTTTTGTCACTAAAAGAAAAAGGAAGCAAGAAAACCTGGCTGCAGATCTGATCACCTTCTGCTGAATTAAATCTGAGAGAAGGCTCCTTGGAGCATGACTTTGTGTGACACCCAAATTTGAGCTGTGCACACCCAAGGGGAAGAGAACACTCCTTAAATAATGTCAAACCCTCTACCTGTGCAGCTTTTAAGCTGTAGCTGCACTAGATGTCTGTGACGGTGCAGTGCACAGGGCCAAGGACGGAGCCTCTTGAGGGTCCAGCAAAGACAAATCTTCATCTCGGCCACAGCTTGTCGTAGCAGGGTCCCTGTGAAATGTGAATGCGGGTGAAGTAAATGCTGTGTGTTGCTTGGGTGCTTTTCTTCTCTGCAATACAGATACTGGGTGTCCTTGGTGGCAGAAAAGGCCCTTTCTCCACAGCACAGCAATGTCTCTTACTGGCCCTTTCAGTTTGCTCTGATGTGCCTTTCCAGCTCACCTCTCTGACCCCAGTTAACTGATCTCTGACACATGAGGATGCGGTTTTAACTCCCATCTCTGGTTCTCACCAGGGTGAATTGCTCAGAGTACTTCCCGATCTTCGTCTCGCTCCTCTGGGTTGCTGGAATCTTCTTCCATCAAGGTAAGTGGGATGGGAGGAACCCCAACCCAAACAACATGGTGAGCCCTGAATTGGTCAGGTAGTTGGACTAGATGATTATTGAGGGTCCCTTTCAACTGAAATAGTCTAATTTATTCTATTCTAAACTAAAAAAAAAACCCTATTTAAATCCCTTTGCAACTCAGGCACATCCTCTCTGTACCCATGAGGCTGTTACTTGGGGAAAGCAAAGGTCCTTTTTGGCTGGATGGACTGAGGGGTGCCCCAACTCCAGCAGGCAGAAAGCTGCTGGTATCAGCCAAGTGATCTCCTGCCCAGAGGAGAGGTTTGGTGGCATTGGCAGCCCGTGCTTCTTCGCCAGAGCCCGACTGGCCCCTGTGCTGCTTCTCTCGGATAAGGTCAGGCTGGCATGTGGTGCCAGGGCGGCGGCAAACTGAAGCAGAGCTGCAACGTGATACCCAAATTGCTACATCAGAACAAGAAACCATAACCTAAACAATCTGTCATCCACCATTCATCCTCTACCAAGTGGGTTCAGGGGATTTGGCTGCTGTCACAGAGAAGATGCAAGGAAGGACCACGGCAGGGAGCTTTGCAAACCCAAGTCCCACGGCAACTTTGCAGGGTAGAGAGGTTCATACCTCACAAAAAGGCAAGGAAGAAAACCCATTTAAACTCCCACAGCATTTTAAAACTGCGTCCCTCTGTGTCTGGTTCTCGTGACCGTGCCCTATCTGCAGGGGGAAGCGGGGACATGGGTGCCTGAGCCAGGCTGCAGCTCCGGCAGCATCCAGGGACCCCCGGCTTCATCAGGACTCAGCTCCTCTCTCCCTCGCAGGTGTGGCCGCAGCGTGTGGGCTGCTGTACCTCTACACCCGCTACAAGTACTTCCAGGGATACGCCATGGCTGCGCAGGGACGGTTAGTACCCGACGGGGGCTGAAGGCACCCCAACCACCCCAGGGAGGCGGAGTGCAGGATGTGGCCCCTGGGGCAGGTTTCCTTCCTGCAGGTGGGACTGAAGGCAGGTTAGGCAGGTTTGCATCACTCACTTCTCCTCCTTTCCTGCCCCCACGCACTCGTGGCCCCACCAGCTCTCGCCCAGCACCGTCTCAGAGGAGAATGGGGGGACACCAAGCCCTCACCAGCATGCTTCATGCCCTGCGTCGGCTGGCGGTGCCTGATGGTGTTTTCTCCCCACGCAGGTTGGGCCCGCTCTACGCCAGCGCCCGGCTGCTCTGGCTGCTGCTGGGGCTGGCAGTGGCCGGGCTCCTGGCACACTTCCTGCTGCCCAGGTCCTTCACATGGACGACAGTGCTGGCACGGCCCCTCCAGCTGCTCAGCGCCCGGTGAGCGGGGCCGCCGCTCTCCCAAAACCCATGTTGACCATCAGTGGAGGGGAGGGAGTCGCATGGCATGGTCAGAGACACCATGAATATACAAAAAAATAAATTCCTTTTCTCAGTAGAAATCACTTGTGATTGTCAAAGGTATTTGGGGACCGGATGTGAGAGCATCCAAAGGTTAGGGGAATGCATTGCATGGGATAAGCTGCTGTGATTAAAACTAACTTGAAAGGGTGGGTAAACTTGTCGTAAACCTTATCCAAACTTTGGGAAAAAAGCCTGACTCTAGTTCAAATGCTAATGTCTGTGTTTGCCATTATTCTGAATGATCTTGACTCGACCTTGATTTCACTTATCACTAACCCACCAGTCGGACTTTGCCCTCTCTCCAGATTTCAACCTCCGCTGCAAACCCGGGGTTCACAGGTGACTAAAGCAGCCATCACCCATGCAGCATCTTGCTAAGTCTGGGAATAAAAAAGCAACGTATTTTGCAAGACAACTGTTCCATAAGTGTATCCTCAGATGTACGGGTGTCTGAGCACCTTCCTTGCTCCCTGTAGAGGAAAGAGCTGACCAGACTTTCTTTTTTGAAGGTTCCTGTGATGCTGAGGGAAAATACCAGTCTCCCACTGGGCTGCTCTAAGTGCTTTCCCTGCATGGGCAATGCTTTGGGAGTGTTGCGGAATGGTGAGTGCTGAGGAATGACTCCATTTCAGGTGTTGGGGCTCCAGCTGGTCCCGGCCCGCAGGGACACCCACCTGTCCTGGGGTGGAGAACAGGTGGGCAGAGGCAGAGCACGTTTCTCCCCACCACGAGTGACTCCCACCGCTGCACCAAAGGTTTAAATTCAGCTTTTATTACAGTGCACGTTATTTTATATATTTATATATAGAGATGTACTTGAAAAACCAAATGTATCCAATAATAAAAAATACAGCACATTAAAGTAGTATAATGCATTCCAGTGTATAGCTGAAGAGACATTGGGATTTACACTAATCCCTACTATTTTTGAACTGGGCTACTTCTGCTCTTTTTTTCTTCCCAAAAAATTCACACCAATCAATAGCTGAAATAGTTATTTAAAAAGATGGTTTCTGCACTCAATCTCAAGGCAAGAAGACACTGGAGACTTCACCGTGAGTGAAGGGGC